CACTCTGACAGGAAAATACCATGAATTGGATGGCTTGAACAAACAGGAGTTTATTTTCTTACAGTTTAGAGGCTTTAAGTCTGAGTTCAAAGTACCAACTCTAGGGGCTGGGTGAAAGCCCCTTGACCTTGGCTTCAACTCTGCCTCTGGCTTCCAGCCCACTGAAGCTGGAAACTCTTCACTCAGGCAGCTGCTGGCTACTGAGGCCGACAAACCCAAGGTCAACAAGTAAAAAGACACATTCCCAATGTTACCAAACCACATGGCAAGCCATTAATTCAAGTCCATTGAAAGTCCTAAGATCAGCAGAGCATGACAGGCTACTGAATGAAGACTCAGCGACACACAGGGTTCAAGTATGCCAAAAAGCCAGAGACCATTCCCAAGGCTTCTCCTTATATACAGAAAGCAGACTACATCCCTAAGGCAGCTACTCAACTGCTCACATAGATTCTACCACAGAGGTGATTACAGTATCATCAGGGAGAATACCACATCCAGTTGCCCAGCCACTCAACCAGGCCCAGCCAAGTTGACACACAGTCTTAACTACCACAAGGAGACATTAACTTTCATTTGCCCAACTGGATATGATCTAAGCATATAAAACCTACCCAGCAGCTCACAGTGACCCTTTAAGATGAATTACAACTGCCCATAAGGTATCCAAGACTGTACATCTTTACTGAAGTAGACTGCCTCATCATTCTCTCTTGGAGCAGCTGGTGGGTTTGAACCACCAATCTTTGCGCTAGCACTTGAATGCTTTAACAACTGCACCACTAGAGCCTCTTAATCATATAGGTGATCCCCAGAAAAGGCTAGTAAGTGGAGTGGTAAGTGGTAAGTCACTTACCATCCCTCCACCACACCATCTTATCCATCCCTTCCCCCATAAGTCCCTGATACAAACTTAAAAGAGAAGGGTAAAGTGCAAACTTTTTGGTTCCTCTTCACTTTGACTGCCTCTCCCCCACTAAAATGGTTGCCAAAGTACCGTCTCTATTATTTTTCTAGATTCCTCATTTCTATTTTAGTTCAAGTGTTGTTGTTGTTGTTATGTGCCGTTGAGTCGGACCCGACCCATAGCGACCCCTCGAGTTTCCAAGGCAGTATCACTACGGAAGTAGATTGCCCCATCTTCCTTCCGAGGAGTGGCTGGTGGGTTTGAACCGCAAGCCTTCTGGTTAACAGTCAAGTGCCTTAAGCACTATGCTACCAGAGCTCCCTAGTTCAAGTAGTAATGAAAAATACTGGGATAGACTGATAATTAGACATCAATGAAATTTACTTCATTGTTCCTCCAAAGATTCACTGTGATTAGGACAATGAGTCAGCCTGTCTTTTGCTACTAAATACTACTCCCCACCCAAAACACACTAGCAATGATAACCAGTTATACCTAAGCTATGCAATGTAGACTTTGTTCCAGAGCACCACATTTTCAAAACAAACCCATGTTTTGTGCATACTATTAGCCTCTTCCCCATTCACAAATTCCACAGTGGAGAACTTAACTCCTGGACAGTAAGCAATGATGGATGGAACGAGATACTCCAAGTCTAGACAGCAAGCTGGTCAATCTGAGAATCTATGTGTAGGCAATAACATTCTTCACATTCCCCTTCTTCCCACTCCACCCACCTTCACTCACTGTTTAATAAAATGATTGGTATGCATGGTGCTTAGATTATACACTTTAGATACATTATGGTTACAAAAAGTTTAATGATTAAGCTAATACAAAAACCAATGGGAACACAACCTGTGATTTGGGGGCTTCCAGAAGTTATTTATGAAAGAAAGTCCAGTTTGAACACATGATTATACTAATAAGCCTACTGTATTGTTCCTCTGAGTAGGAGTTTTAGAAGAATTACTTGCCATCATATCATGAACAAACTTTCAGCATAATATCACAAATGAAGCATAATGTAAGTGTCATGTGCAACAAATTAAAGATTTGGTTTTGGTTTTATAAATAAAAGGAAAATTGGCACAAATAATTCTTAGTGTATGTACTCACAACACTGAGTAAACAATATGGCAAAGTCAAGTTAAAAAATAATAAACCACTGAGATCAAAACTGAAGCATTTTCCCAAAAACAAAGTTCAGAAGGCAGGATGATGCAGGAAAGATGGGTGAATGGAAATGGGGAACCCAAGGAGAAAGTGGGGAGAGTGTTGTTACATTGAAGGGATCACAACTCATGCCATGAAATAAGACATGTATAACTTATTGGATGGAAATTGATTTGCACTGTAAAGTTTCACCCAAACCACAATAAATGTTTAAAAAAAAGAAAAAAAAACCTGATCATTATAGAATTCCACATGGAAGGAAGGAAAGTGAAGAGAGGCAAACATCTTGAAAATTTGTTGATATCTAATTGCTCCTTGATACTTCTTAGAAGTAAAAACTTTGTTACAGAGTAAAAGTTCTGGAAAAGAAAATCCTGCTTACTTTTTTTTCAAGAGATAATGATTTCTATCTTAGCATGAATTAATAGTATATTTTCAGTACAAAGAAAATGTTAGTATGCAAAACAAAAATCAAACTCCCTGCAGTCGAGTTGATTCTGACTCACAGCAATCCCTCCTTGGGTTTCTGAGGTGGTATCTCTACGGAAATAGACTGCCCTTCCTTCTGAGGAGTAGCTGGTGCGTTTGAACTGCCAACCTTCTGGTTAGCAGCCAAATGCCTTAGACACTACACTACCAGACCCTTCGAGCCAGTCTTTGTAACTCCCACCAAATGACTGAACTATGAAAATGTAAGGCACTAGTGGCCCAACAAGGGAAATAGATAGCTTGCTAATAATGTAAATAAGATGCATGTCACCTTTGTAGAGTTGGGACCACACAAATAAGGTGTGTGGAACCCTAACACGGGGATTGGTCAGTTTTGCCATCCAGACAGCCTTAAAATGAGCCATCGTAAAGGTAGCAAGTGGGAGATATCTCACCACCATCAAGAAAGAAAAGCCAAGGGTAGGGCTTTGGACACTGAGATCTTTCTGCTGAAGTTCCTCGATCTAGGAGACAGAGCTGAAACACCAGAGACAGTGAAAGACAGCAAGAAACAGTAGCAAGGGCAGCAGAATAAGGAGACTGGCAGGAGGCTCAAAAGCAGACAGAACAGAAGGGTTCTGGATGTACAGAGCAAGAAAGCTGAGTACGTTTGGGCAGGAGGCTTACTAGCAGAGTAGGATGCCTCTGAGTGCTTAACAGCAGAGCTAAAAGAGCTTTATAACACTTGCCTGAGTAAAGCAGAGTCCAAGGGGCTGCGGGACCAAGAAGCTGAGGCCTAGTGAGGGGGCCTGCCTGCAGCACAGCTGTGAAGAAGCTGTCCCAATCAAATAACTATATCCAGAATCGTTTCTGATCCTGAAATGTAACCTGCTACTTCCCTAATAAACCTTATAAGCCTGAGTATAGTCTGGGAGTTATCTGTGGCCATAACAGTGAATTATCAAACCCAGCAGTGACACAGAGTGCCATGAGAGGGACCGCTGGTGTCAGAATTAATAAAAATGTTGGAGGGTAGAGGCATGTCTGAACTCTATATCATAGGAATCAGCTATGGCCTACTCATGTTGATATTTTGTGTGTGCATGATTTGGGTGAAAGTTCACAGAGCAAATTCATTTTCCATTCTACAGCTCATACACATTTTGTTTCATGGCACTGACTGCAATCCCCACAATGTAACAGTTCTCTTCCCATTTTCTCCCTGTAGTTACCTTTTCCCTGTGTCCTTTCCTATGCAGTCCTGCCCTCTGAGCCATCTCCCTGTGCAAATAATGCTCTTCTGATCTCCCACGGTTGATTGTTCTAAGGAGTGTAACTATCTGGCGCAATTGTTCACCTCAAAGGTATACTGTTTAGCTGAAAATTAAGCCACTGGACTGAGTACAATTCTAAGCCTGAAGGGTGACTAGGGGGCCATAGTCTCAGGGGTTTTACCAGCTTCTATTAGACAAGTAAACCTGTTTTTTTTATGATTTTCAATCTTGTTCCACATATTTCTCCTACTCTATCCAGGATCTCCAATATGATCCCTTTCTAAGTGGTTGGCAGTGTATCAGGGAACCATCTAGTTCTTCTGGTCTCAGGGTCATATAGGTTGAGGTTACAGCCCCTTGATCTGCTTATATCCATATGTCTTTGATTTTCTTCACTCTTCTTTGCTCTGGATGAGGAGAGACCAATTATTTTATCTTAGATGGCTGCTCATAAGCATTTAAGTCCCCAGTTGCTACTCACTCACATTGTAAAACAATGTTTTTATGTAGTATGTGATGCCAACTGAGCTTGATGTCCTCTGCAACGATGGTATCCAACCCATGGGCTCAGCAAGTCACTCCCTCAAGGTGTTTGGCTATAGCTAAGAAATTACCATAACTGTACCATTAGCTCTATTACATCCATTTTATATATATATATATATATATATATATATATATATATATAAATACATGTCTCTTACCTATCTAGAAATTTTCCTTCCCCTCCCCTCATATCCCTGGTAACCAACAAAGAAAGTTTTCTTCTATGTGTAAACCTCTCCTTGACTTTTTTACAACTGTGGACTCATACAATATTTGTTTTCCTGTGTGTTGATAATGATCTTGATCCTCTTCACCCCTTGTGAAGTTAGAGGTCAGATGCCTCACCCACATCATTATTACATAATTCTAAGAGGCTTCATTAGCAGCATATTTCATATCTTAACTAATATAACATTGTCACTGTTGAATTTCCATTGGAATTACCATCAAATGTGATAATGTGTGAATATCTGACATCATAAATGGAAGAGCACACTCAATGAAAATTAAACACTCTGTATACCATATAACATAGATCTATATCCTCTAAGGCATCAGAAAAAAATACTTCAATTTTCATGTAGTTCTGATGGATAGTTACTTTAAAAGGTAAATAAGTCAGCAGCACTAGTATCAGAACTGAAAATGAAGATGGAATCATAACTCACCTTTATGCATAGGAGTAGATCCATTATTGTCACGTTCATTAATATTGATTACTCCATCTTCTATTAATTTCTTAAGTACTTCCAAATTACCCTTGAAGGCAGCCACATGACCTGGAAAGGATAAATCTATGACAAGTAATAAAGGCTAAATCAGTGACAAGTAATAAAAAGAGAATCATAAAATAAAAAATAAAGTCTAAATCAGTGACAAGTAATAAAAAGAGAATCATAAAATAAAATTAGTACAAATTATGTAGCCCTTTCTTCCCTTAAAAATGAGGCACTCTACTTCCATAAACATTTACCACCTTGGAAACCCAATGGGGGTTGCTATAGGTTAGAATTGACTTGATAGCAGTGGGTTTGGTTTGGTTTTTGGTCCTTCCCTTAGGATTTCAAACACACTAGAAGTATAATATCAGAACTGTTCTTAGCCATATTCCCTTTTTCATTCACACTATGAATCATACACACACACACACAGAGAAAAACTGGACTGCTGTTGAGTTAACTATGACTCAGTTACCATATACAACAGAGTAGAAGCTGACTCATACGGCTTCCAAGGCTGCCAATCTTTTACAGAAACAGATTGCCACATCCTTCTGCAAAGCAGTTGGTGGGTTCGAACCGTCAAGCATTTGGTTGGCGGCCAAGAACACTTTAACCACTGCACAACTAGGGCGCCTCCAAAACACAAAGGTATAGTAACTTTCAACTCTGAATAAAGATACACTTGGTCTTAAAGCCTGCATTTACAGACCACTTCCTGTGTTTTCAAGGAAATGAAGAAAAGACAAATTGGAGCCAGGTAAGTGTGTGCGTGTATGTGCGTGTGTGTACATGCGTGCGCGTGCACGCATATAGAAGCACATGCACAAGGAAGACAGAGAGAAAGTACCTAACCTGGCTTTATAAAATGTTCTTAATGATTAAGACTATATATACTGAGCCCTTACTAAATGCCAGGCACTGTAAGGATCAACTCATTTAACGACCCCTGAGATATCCAAACCAAAATCAAACTCACTGCCATCGAGTTGATTCTGACTCATAGCAACCCCCTTTGGGATTCCAAGGCAGTAAATCTTTACAGAAGTAGATTGGCCAGTCTTCCTTCCACAGAGTGGCTGGTGGGTTTGAACCACCAACCTTCTGGTTAGCAGTCCAATGACTTAGGCACTACACCACCAGAGCTCCTTAGTTATCCCCATTTTTACAGATAAGGAAACTAAAATTCAGAAAAATTAAAAGACTTGTCTGGCATCACACAGTAAGTGCTAGAGCTTATTATGAATGATCTGACTTCATTCCTGCTTTTCATCATTACTTTATCTTGCCTCCTAAAAGTAAATGAATGTGTCTGATTTTGAGGAGAGTCACAATAGGTACCAAAACTATACAGCAGCGTCAGAAGAAGCTCACAAAGGAATTGAGAAATAGGTAAGATCTGAATGAATTAATCAAATGGCAGATTAGCATTACCAGCAAAAAGCTAAGCAAGAATAAAATATTTTTTTGAAAAGCATTCACAAGTCTCTGACCACAAACTTTAAAAAAATGATGCAGGGATTAAATGAGACACCTAGCACAGTGTCTGGCCTATGACTCATCTGTCCGTTTGTCACACTGTGGTGGCTTATGGGTGGTTATAAGGCTCGAAGCTTTGTCATTGGCATTTCAAATACCAGCAGGGTCATGCATAGTGGACAGGTTTCAGTAGAGCTTCCAGACAAAGAAAGACTGGGAAGAAGGATGGGGCCCATCCACATCTGCAAAAACTGGCCACCAAAACCTTATGAATAGCAGTGAAACACAGTCTGATATATGACTGGAAAACTTTATGAATAGCCCCGAAACATCGCCTGATGTAGTGCTGGAAGAGAAGCTCCTCAGGTTGTTGTTGTTGTTATGTGCCGCTGAGTTGGCCCCGACTCACAGCGACCCCTCCTTGGGTTTCCGAGGCAGTATCACTATGGAAGTAGAATGCCCCATCTTCCTTCCGAGGCATGGCTGGTGAGTTTGAACCACCAGCCTTCTGGTTAGCAGTCAAGTGCCTTAGGCACTATACTACCAGAGCTCCCCCTCAGGTTGTAAGGCACTCAAAATATGACTAGGGAAGTGCTACCTCCCCAAAGTAGAGTCGACCTTAATGATATGGATGGAGTGAAGCTTTTTCCAAGACCTTTCTATGCTGATGGGGTATGGTTCAAAATGGAAAGAAACAGCTGCAAACATCCATTAATAACTGGAACATGGAATGTAGGAAGTATGAATGTAGGAAAATTGGAAGTTGCCAAAAAATGAAATGGAATGCATAAAAACTGATATCCTAGGTATTAATGGGGAGCTCTGGTAGCATAGTGGCTAAGGCACTTGACTGCTAACCAGGAGGCTGGCGGTTCAAACCCACCAGCCACTCCTCGGAAGAAAGATGAGGCAATCACTACTTCCATAGTGATACTGCCTCGGAAACCCAAGGAGGGGTTGCTGTGAGTCGGGTCCAACTCGACGGCACATAACAACAACAACAGGCATTAGTGATGTGAAATGGACTGGTTTTGGCTATTTTGAATCACAGTCATATGCTCTACTATTATAGAAATAACAAAGTGAAGAGGAATGCAGATGCATTCATCATCAAAAGAACGCTCAAGATCTATCCTAAAGTTCAGTGCTATCAGTGGTAGGATAATATCCACACACCCACAAGGAAGACCAGTTAATACTATTATTCAAATGTACACACTAATGACTAAAGCCAAAGATGAAAAAATTGAAGATTTTTACCAACTTCTGCATTCTGAAATTGATCAAATATGCAATCAAGATGCATTGATAATTACTGGTGATTGGAATGTGAAAGCTGGAAACAAAGAAGAATCATCAATATTTGGAAAATAGGCCTTAGTGACAGAAATGATGGAGATGGCATGATAGAATATTGCAAGACCAACAATTTATTCATTGCAAATACCTCTTGTCAAAAACATGGACCTCACCAGAAGGAATACAGAGAACTCGGATTGACTACATTTGTGGAAAAAGGCAATGGAGAAGCTTGATACCATCAGCCAAAACAAGCAAGGACATTAGAGAGATGCAAATCAAAACAACGAGATACCATCTTGCCCCAGCACTAGTAGCAAAGTTCAACAAGACAGAAAATAACAAATGCTGGTGAGGATGTGGAGAGATCAGGGCTCTCATACACTGCTTGTGGGGCTGTCAAATGATACAACTACTGTATGGCAATTCTCTAAAAAGTTGAAATTAGAAATACCATTTCACCCAGCAATTCCATTTGTAGGTGTATATCCTAAAGAAGTGAGAACCAGGACAAGAACAGATACATGCACACCCATGTTCACTGCAGTACTACTTACAATAGCAAAAAGATGGAAACAACCTAGGTGCCCATCAACAAAAGAGTGGATAAGCAAACTATGGTATATACACACAATGGAATACTATGTAACCCTAAAGAATAATGCCGAATCTGCAAAACACCGCATCTTGTGGATGAACTCACAGGACATTATGCCTGAGTGAAATCAGTCAGTCACAGAAGGACAAATATCGTATTAGTCCGTTATTGTAAAAAGTCAATGAAAGGTTTATATATGGAAGGAAATTTTCTTTGTTGGTTACTAGGGGTGGGAGGGGTAGGGAGGAAACACTGTTAGGTAGGTAGAGACAAGTATTGATTTGGGTGAAGGAAGGGCAATGTACCAAAAGTTAGTGATCAACATGGTGGCACTGAGGAAGAGGAAGACACAGAGAGGTGCAAGGAAGTTACAGACAACAAAGATGAACCCTTTTGTACATACAGCACTGTGTTGTCAGTGAAAGCAAACACTGATACACAGGTGGATGACTGGACAGGCTGAATGATTAGGTACATCTATGCAGGGGGGAGTGTGCCCATGACCATGTACAGAGTTGGCAGACAATGTTTCTAGAAGTGTATTTGTATATTCTGTAAGAATTTCCAGGTATATAGCCTAAGGCATTTGACTGCTAACCAGAAGGCTGACAGTTTAAACCCATCAGCCACCTCTCAGAAAGAAAGTTGGGCAATCTACTTCCGTAGTGATACTGCCTTGGAAACCCAAGTGGGGTCACTACGACTCAGATCCAACTCGACGGCAGTGAGTTCGATTTTTTGGTTAGGAGAACTGTGGTGCAGTGACTCAGGCCTTCTGGGGCAGCTTTATTTTCAGGTCGGGCTACTAGGCAGGTGGGCGGAGCACAGCAGTTGGGGCCTTGTGAAGCAGCTTTAAGTCTGGGCCCCCAACTAGGTAAGGACAGGTGGGGAAGTGAGCAGAGCAGATGGAACAACTAAGGGAGATGAAATTGTCTGTCAGTTTGTCGTACTGTGGCTGAAGGCTATGACACTGGTGTTGCAAAATGCCAGCAGGGTTACCCATGGTGGACAAGTTTCAGTGGATCTTCTAGACTAAGGCAGACTCAGAAGCAGGAAGAGGCCATCTAATTCTCAAAGAATTGGCCGGTGAAAACCTTATGAATAGCAGTGAAACACAGTCTGATATATTACTGGAAAACTTTATGAATAGACCAGAAACATTTTCTGATATAGTGCCAGAAGATGAGCCCATCAGGTCAGAAGGCACTCAAAATATGACTGGGGAAGAGATGACTCTTCAGACTAAAGATGACCTTAATGATATAGATGAAGTAAAGATTTCAGAATCTCCATTGGCTGATGTGGCATGGCTCAACATGAGTAAAAACAGCTACAAATACCCATTGATAATCGCGACATGGAATGTACAAAGTATGAATCTAGGAAAACTAGAAGTTGTCAAAAATTAAATGGCACGCATAAAGATCAATATCCTAGGCATTAGTGAGCTGAAATGAACTGGTTTTGGCCATTTTGAATCAGACAAACATATGATCTACTATACGAGGAATGATACATTGAAGAGGAATGGTGTGGCATTCATCACCATAAAGAATGTTTCTAGATCTCTCCTGAAGTACAATGCTGTCATTGACAGGATAATATCCACACACCTACAAGGAAGAATAGTTAATATGACTATTATTCAAATCTATGCACCAACTACCAAAGCCAAAGATGAGGAAATTAAAGATTTTTA